TTATTGAGTCAGGGTCTCACTCTGTCACCCAGGCTAGAGTGTAGTGGCATGATCATGGTTCACCACAGCCTCAAACTCCTGGGTACAAGCAAATCTCCAGCTTCAACCTTGCAAGTACCTGAATTACAGGCGCATGCCACCCACCTGGCTAATTTTTTTATTTTTTGTTAGTGGCGAGGTCTCACTATGTTGCCTAGGCTGGTCTCAAACTCCTGGGCTCAAACAATCCTCCTACCTCAGCCTCCTAAAGTGCCAGAATTATAGGTGTGAACCACTGTGCCCGCTCACAACTACGTTTATTCGCTGCTTACTAGATAGCAGGAATTATTCTAAGTACTTACGATAAAATCTCATTTAACCCTCAAACAACTCCATAAGGTAGTTATTCTTTTTCTCATTTTACTAGTGAGGAAATGGAAACTCTTAAGAGTTGACGAATTTGCCTGAGGCCACGTAGCTAGGAAGTGGGAGAGCCTAGATTCTAATTTAGGACTGACTCCAAAATCCTAATTTAACTATCATGCTATAAAAAAAGGATGTTTCTGCAAATGTATTACTTATTCTTTGGAGCATGAGCTTATGTGTATGTCATGGAAGAAGCTAAGAATTGACTAACCTCTGTTAATAATTGATTAAGAGTCCAATGGCTTGTTCAAGTGGCTAATCTCACTAACAGAGGACAGCTGGGAAGGAGGTTATGCTTAGTAATCAGCTAGTGACCAAAACCCCAAACTTAACTCTCGCTCTCAAAAAATAAATAAATAAATCTCACAATACTTTTGTGTGGCCCCTGTCTCCTTTGCTTGTTTTATTTATTCCTAGAAATGCTAGGGAATGTGATTTCTCAAGTAGAGCCAGAATGGGAATAGAGCAGAAAGGGGATGTGGTCAAGTGCACAGTGGTGTCCTGAGAACAATGCTTGTGACTGGCCATTCAACCTCAACCACTGCTAATTGAAGTCATTTCACCTCTCTCTGTCCCATTTTTATCACCTGAAAAATTGGGGTGTGAATAAGGATTTGAAGAAGAATTACAAGATTAAAAAACTAATGCAATAGAATTTAAGGAGGAACTGTTAAGAAATGGATTTTTCTGATCCAGCTGTGTGAGTCAGGGAGAATGGAATTAGTCACATCAACATTTGGGGGTGACAAAGGGAAGCGTGGGCACTGAGGTTCTTCAGTGAGCTTCCAGATGGAAATGTTTGCCTTTTGATGGGGCTGATCTGCATAATCTATATGGATTCAAGCCTGGTGGTGGTGAACAGTCACTGAGCTTCAGAATGGGAGGTGAGGGGAGGGGATGGACAGGTGAGGGAAGATTCATGTTGGAGATCTGCCCAACCTGACACAGTGCTGTTCTGTAGAGTCTCCTCTCTGCAGATGCCCAATGACGTAACGTTTGTTAATGACTCTGTGAGTAAGCATGGTGATGTTCATTTAGGGGCGAGAAAAATGAGTCTCAGATTGTTTAAGAAACTTCATTAAGGCCTCCACACTAGTATCTGGTCAGATGAGATTTAAAGTCATGCCTATTTGGTGCCAACACTATTTTATTACACCATGCTATCTATGACTTATTTAACCAGTTTCCTTTGCAAAGTCCTCAAAATTCCCAGATTAACAGTCATTCACTTGGCCATCCATTTCTTCATCTATTCCATCTATTCCATAGGTAGCTATTGAGCACATGTTAGGTCCAAATCTCAAATATTCTGCTGTATTTGCTAGCAAATTCCACAGAATGCAGACGCCCTCTTCTCCTACTAGGATTTAGGACCTAGTTTTCATTGTGTTTTTCATTGAAGAAAGGCAATGGTCTGGATATCAGAAGATGTGAGTACCAATATGGTATCTTGCCCTTGTAAAGGGTGCTTCAGTAAAGAGGCATATTCGTAAATCAGTGTATTCTTGAGCTTTGGGACTGAGTTTTCTTTGCAGGATGGCATTGCGAACATTGGCACTCATAAACAACAGCACCCCATGGAAAGTAGTCCCTTCTTGCATGTCTTTGCTGCAAGCTACCTGAAGTTGACTTGGCAGGCTCTTGGATTCAATTCAGAATCTCTTTACCATATCTTCATATTCCTTTCTTCTGTCTTTCATGGTAATTCTGTTTCTGCTTCTAACCTCACATTGAACTGGAAACTATTGACTATCTCATTCAGCAGAGGAAGTTATATTCCCTTTGCTTGGAATTTCTAGATCTTGCCATTGAGTTCATATAGTCCCTTTGCCTCTCAAACACTCCCCTGGTCTCTTACGTACTGGAATTTCCCTCTTTCTTGGTCACCAAGCCTCAGGTTGGATCTTTTTACCACTTAGACTTCGCATCTGCTTTTTTGCCTTTTTTTCTTTCTTTTGATTACCCTTCAAAGCTTTTGAACTTAGTCTACCGCTTTTGATCTGAAATCCTCTATTTCTCTCAAAGACGTTTTCCCCCTTCATCTCTGTCCTTTGCTGGGTCACTAGCTGGAAGGGAAGTCACTTTCTCATGAAGTCACACTTCCTGGCTTCATTGTCATTATTTATCAAATATTTGTTGAGTACCTATGGGCTTCCAAGCTAGGACAGCAAGATAAGATACCTTCCTTACCTGAAAAGTCTGATAGAGGTGACAGGATGAAAATAAATACTTGCAAAACTGTCACAACAAATGTCTAGAAGAGAATACTGAGTATACTGATGACACAAAAGAGGAAGTGAAGGACTGATTGGTCAGAGAAGACTTTACAAGAAGTCCTTGAACTGGGTTTTGAAAGATGCAAAAGAGAGTTCGGATATGGTGGCTCTTGCCTGTAATTCCAGTACTATGAGAGGCTGAGGTGGGAGGATCACTTGAGTCCAGGAATTCAAGACAAGCCTGGGAAATATAGCAAGACCTCATCTCTACAAAAAATATATCAAAACATTAGCCAGGTATGGTGGTGAATGCCTGTAGTCCCAGCTACTCGGGAGGCTGAGATGGAAGGATCACCTAAGGCCAGAAGGCTGAGGCTTGTTGGGAGCGAGCTTTGGAGGCCCACCTGATTGACAGGGTCCTGGTGGGCCGAAGACCCCAGGCCGCAGGGCGAGCCCGGGAAGCTGAGGCCCTTCTGTCTTCCACCTTTGCTGTTTGGTACTGCCAAAAAATTCTATACAGTCGTGAAAAAAAAAATGACATGTTTATATAAAATACTCACAGCTAACCTAAAAATGTCATGGTTTATTTTCCCATTTTCCCACTATGCTGTTTGGCCTTTTCTAACATATGCAAGAGTTAAACTCTAAAACCCATCAAAAATGCTTTCTTTCACTTGGTTATAAGTTACTAAATATTGCTTAAATAATAAATAATATAAATATATTCACTCCTTATTTAATTTAAAATTATACAGTTTAGTGTTTAGACATAAGATTTTTTAAAAGCACAAGTTTATAATAAGTTCATTATAAATTCATTATAAGTTCTAACATTTATCTAAGTTATACAGATGATTTATAACACTGTTTTCACTGACTTAAAATAAAAATTAATATTAAGATTTTTACTTAATTCAATAATTAAAACTCTAAGTTAACATTTATAGAGTGAGTTTTCACTAAACTCATAATACAATAATCAGACACTTTTATGACAAATCAGCTAAAACAGACAACAACCTTGAGGGACCTGGAAAACATTACTAAAAGCTTCTTTTGAGTTCTCTTTAAAAACGAACACTGCAAGATAAAAGAAAAGTAACGAAGACATCTAGACAAGAGAGACGATCACGAGACTCTAAAAGACATAAAAGCCTAAGATGAAAAAATTCCTGACACATAAAGAAATAAACACTTAAAAACTTTCTTAAGACATTTCAAGGACTATAATTCGGGACATTAGACTAAAAATATCATTATTGACTTTATAAATAAGACTTGTTGTCTGAATGTTTATGGGAATCTTGATTTATTTGCTACTAAGACCACTAGATAATAACTTTTAAAAGATATGTACATGAAAAAATTTTCTTTGTCTTGCCCCTTTACAAATGGTATAAAAGCTCTGTATTAACTAACATTAAATTGTCATCTGTTCAAAAAACAAGTGTCCGAGTCTATTATCTTCGTCCTTCGCCTATCCGTCTCTCCTTCAAGACATCTCACAACCCTTGAGAGACGGACCCCCGCAGAGGCTGAGGTGAGACATATGATCATGTAACTGCACTCTCCAGCCTGGGCGACAGAAAAAGAAAACCGACTAAAAAAAAATATATAATATATATTTATATATATATATACACGTATGTAATATATATTTATATATAAATATATATTTGCATATATATGCAAAAGAGATCCCCCAACCCAAGGAAAGAGGTGAGGAAAAAGAATTCCAGAAACAGGGAACATTCTACACAAAGACCTAGAGGTCGGAAACAGCACGTCCCACTTGGGGGAAACTGTTAGGTATTCTATATTCTTGGAGCTTGGTGCTCAAGTAGAGGTGCTTCAGGAGGTGAGAGGGGAGGCTGAGGAGGCAAGAGGAACTAGATAATGGAGTGTCTTTGATGCCTTGCCAAGGACTTTGGGTTTTATCCCGAAGGCCATGGAGGATGGGCAGAGGGTTTTAAGAAAGAGAGTCAGATTTAGAAAGACCGCCTGATGCACAGCAAGGAGAATGTACTGGATGTTGATAGACCAAAGGCAGGGAGAACAAACAAGAGTTTATTGTAATATTATTATAAGTAAGAAATGAAGACAGTCTAAACAAAAGCAAAGATAGTGGGGTGCAAAGGGAGGAAAGGACTGTTAAAATTGTTAAGAGACCAAGCTGACATGACACAGTGATTGACTGGATGCAGGGAGTGAGGGTATGTCTCTGGACAAGGCCAACACATGGATATTGATGTAATTAAATGTAATGTTGAACACAGGGTGGGGGACACATGTTAAGTGAGGTGGAAAGGCATAACGGTCGGGTGGAAGGAGAGGTCTGGGATATGGACACCATTTGGATTTGTTCATTCTGTTTTGCAGCCTTGGTCGAAGGACTTCAGGTCACAGTGCCTGACAAGAAGAAGGTGGCCATGCTCTTCCAGCCCACTGTGCTTCGCTGCCACTTCTCCACGTCCTCTCATCAGCCTGCAGTTGTGCAGTGGAAGTTCAAGTCCTATTGCCAGGATCGCATGGGGGAGTCCTTGGGTATGGCCTCTACCCGGGCCCAGTCTCTTAGCAAGAGAAACCTGGAGTGGGACCCCTACTTGGATTGCTTAGACAGCAGAAGGACTGTTCGAGTGGTAGCTTCAAAACAAGGCTCAGCCGTCACCCTGGGAGATTTCTACAGGGGCAGAGAGATCACCATTGTTCATGGTAATAATACCCCTGCTTTGAATCTGGGAAATGGGAGGGAAGTTAGTTCCATGTTTCCCTTCGCTTATGTCTGTAAGGGAATGTCAGCCTCTCACCCTTTCAGACCCTCAAAACTTTGATTTTATGGGAGATGGGAACATCAAATGACCTAGCAAATTGCTTTCATGGAAAGGAGAAAAAGGGTCATATAGTATCCAGAGAAGACACCGAGAGGAGCTTTGGAAACAGTCTTTCCAGAGCACAACATCCAGTCTCAGAAGCTTGTTTTTAGAACTGAATTGAAATGAGTTCTAGGGAAAAACCTTCTCCAAAGATCCTCCACCTTAACATCAGCCTTTTGGGTCTTCCTAAACATGGAAAACAGATTTTCCTAAGAAATTTCTCTGCATAGAGAAGAGATGTATGCCTTCAAGCTACAGAGCCAGGCACATGCCTGGGCCCAAGTCCCAAGTGGCTTTGGTCAACTCTACCCTTCCTCCTGCTCCATCATGCTTTGGACAACAAAAGGTCCCAAGAGTCTGATTTAACCTATGAGATTATTCAAATTTTGAAGCACTCCTGTGAAGTCGGCTTTATTTCCAGGAGACTAGAATAATTCTGGCATTTTTCTGACTCTCAAGGATCTCTGCAGATCTGGTTCAAAGCCATCTTTTACTCTTGAAATTGGACTAGAACTAGTCTAGTTTCTGGCTATGCTCTAGTTCTCTCTCCTTAGAGATGCTACTTTTTTGTGAAGGTTCTGTTGGTTTTGTTTGTTTTAAATAAAGCACACATCTTTCAGCCACCACACAGGTAAAGAAATAGAACACAGCAAAAGCTGGGCTTGATGGCTCAGCCTGTAATCCCACGCTTTGAGAGGCTGAGGTGAGTGGATTGCCTGAGCCCGTGGGTTAGAGACCCACCTGGGCAACTTGGCGAGACCTCATCTCTACAATAAATCAAAAAAAAATTAGCTGGGTGTGATAATGTGTACCTATAGTTCCAGCTACTTGGAAGGCTGAGGTGGAAGGATCGCCAGAGCCCAGCAGATTGAAGCTGTGGTGGCAGAGAGCGTGCCACTGCACTCCAGTCTGGGTGACAGAGTGAGACTTCAACTCACACATACACAAAAGAACACAGCAGATACCCAGAAGGGCTCTCCTCCCCCAACCCCCCCCCCATTGTTCCATGTTTTTCTTTCAGAGAACAGAATTTTAGGACTGGGTCCTTCTTTTTGTGATAACAGATGCAGATCTTCAAATTGGAAAGCTTATGTGGGGAGACAGTGGACTCTATTACTGCATTATCACCACCCCAGATGACCTGGAGGGCAAAAATGAGGCTTCGGTGGAACTACTAGTGTTGGGTAAGTAAAAGCCACAGACAACATTTCATCCTAGACTGCTTGCTAGTACCCTCTTTTCACTCCTCCCCTCTGTGAGCATCTACTGGCTGCATACACAGCCTTTATCTTTTTTGCACAAACTCTTTAGAAATGCTCTTTATGAGTAGTGGCTGTACTTATGATCTTGATTCTTGAAAGCTATGACCCCCTTCTTATCATCTCGAATGCTTCTTCTGCTTTCTATTTTTTTCCCTCCTTTCCACTCTCACCTTTAACCCTGATTTCTCTTTTCTCTTTTTCTTTACTTATCTTTTTATATGCTAATTTTGAAGAAAATGCTAGAGGACTTTGAAGCAGGCTAGAGATTACTGAGTGATAAGAATACACTGGTGTGTCAAGACCTCCGGAGACATCAGGAATCTTTTCCCACTCGGTTACCTCCACTTAAGACAATCATAAGGAAAGATAGCTGCAGACTGGAGGGTTTAGTAGTAGAAGGTGCCCAGTGAATGTCTGTAGTCCCAGCTACTCCGGACGCTGAGGTGGGAGGATCATTTGAGTTCAGGAGTTCCAGACCAGGGCAAACTGGGCAAAGTAGCAAGACCGTGACTCTAAAAAAAAAAAGATAAAAATGAGAGAGCGAGAGTGAGAGCCTAATTGATAGTAAGAGGATGGGGGGAAAAAACATAGCATACAAAGAATAAATATGAGAACACAGTATAGGCTATGTTAATAGCAGAAAAAGTAGCTTTCAAAACAAGAAAAAAATAAAAATAAAAGGTTCCCAATGAAAACAGCTGTTTGGGAGATAGATGTACTAGTATTTAACTGGAAGACAGATTTCTTGAAACCTAAAAGTACCTGAGTTATTCTCAAAGCAAATACATCTAATCCTTGTTAATATTAATTTCTTCATAAATGAAAACTCATTACTTTTGGCTACTCTCCCTTTTTTGCGAATTGGAGGGATGTCAGTGGGAGGTAACCTCCTTGTATGAAACTGAAAATTGAGCACATATTTTGTGCTCTATAAATGTTGGTTAGACAAGAAAATCAGAATAAAACATACAGAAATTAAGAAAAGAAACCTCTTCAATTGTAGCAAAAAAAAGTAGTTCAGGATACACACTTGCAGCCATTTTTCAAAAGAAATTACATTTTTGTAGCCTCTAAGAAACCAGGTGACAGCAATTTAGGGGAATTTTAAGGGTACCTCCTTTTAAAGGCAAATGAGGTTGAAGGCTGAGATGGGAAACTCAATCCCCAGGGAGAAAGTGTCATTTGCTCTTTAGGATTTTTGTTTTAGTATTTATTATGATTGTATGATTTTGACAAGACAACGGTTCTGATGCCTTAGTGCTATATTTTAAAAATTGGATTATGGTAATAATGATCTACCTTATTAGAAGGTTGATTTAATTCAAACATTACCCTTGGGTCCAGTATATAAAGTATAATTGTTGTGACTTATAAAATAATGGAAATATGACAGACATTCAATAGGAAATAAAAAAGCAAGAGGCTTATATTGACCTTGTAAAAGAACACAGGGAGGTCATATTTGGGATCTGCTGTGATTCTGTAAGTCAAAAGGAAATAAAAAGATAAATTTTTGCTTAATCACACATCTCTAATAGCCAAGTTTGAAGGAACAAGGGGCTCATTGAGCTTGCAATTAGCTAATTGTGGACACAGTTATTTGGCCAGGGCAGCCAATTGTAGAGAAGTAATTGCCTGTGCAGGAAAAGAAGGCCAGGTAAAAACCGCTTCAAATAATTTGGTCCCATTTGCTCTGCAAGCATGGCAAAATGAATAAAGTGAAAGCTTGGTCATCTGAGGATGTGCTGAATTGTAAGAAGGGCATTCCTCTAGATCAAAACATACAAAGCAACTTGGCTGAAGATACTGTTCTCCGGACAAAAAGGGGTCAGCAGCTGAGAGGTGGGTGAAAGGAAAGCTCAGATGACAGTGGTCATCAATGATGGAAGGAGAGATGAAGAACAAAAGCCAGGATTACGCTAAAGTAATTGTGAAAGGAAAACTGTGGAGGCTGCAAATCAGAACTCATTGCAGTGGAAGGAGCCCATCTGTGAGATAAATAGAGACATGCTCGGGTTCTCAGGGAGGAGAAACACGTAATTCTGCTATGTCTCACATTAAGCAGAAATGTTCAAAGCATGATAAATTTGTTGTGGGAACTTTTTAGGACAACACTCGTTATGTTACTTATTTAAAGGGGTTCGTTCGAAATCTACAACAATTTTCCATTTGCATAAAGTACTGTATTTAACTTTCAGTCGTGCAAAATTCTGAGTCTTCTTCATTTTGACATCCCTTTATAAGATTTTTCAAAATACTGTCACTGTTGTAAAAATTCTTAATTTATTATTATTATATCCTGAAGGCCTATTAGGTCTTCTTTTTATGTTGCTCTGGAGCGTAACCTAACCCTCTAAGGAGATGAAGACCTCTGTGGGAAGGTATCTGGGGCCCACAGTTTGCTAATTACAATGTCCATGAACCACTGGTTCAGTCATTAAGTTTTATATGAGGGATGTTTGGAGGATTTGGTCTAGTGAAAGAGGACTTGGAACAGGTAGCATGGGAAGTGTCTCCAAATATTTAAAGTGAAATTGTGTAGAAGAAGGATTGAAAACATACTCTGTGTGACTAGGTAGAATTGAACCAGGAGTGGAAGTTATAGGGATGAAGTCTGTCTCCATGTAAAAGAAAAACCATTAACAATCGGACACACCTAACAATGGAGTAAGTGTTCTCAGGAGTAGTAAGTTCTGTGTTCTTGGAGGTATTCAACAGGATGAAAAGTTTCAGAGATATCATATCAGGCACTTATGCATAGGAAAAGGTACTCAACTAAGTTACTTTTGAGCTTTATTTCTCTTCTAAAATTGTTGGATTTAAAAGTATATGAACGTGATTGACGTGACTACCTTGATGAATCAGAAAATGACCTCTCAGGAATTCTATCCTCATGACAATGGTAAATGGGGTAACAGGTTGGTTGCAAGAACATACAGGGTGATTGATGTTCATTCACAAGGAAGCCAGAGGGAATAAACTGTGGTCTATGGTAGTAGATCAGGGCTAATAGGACTAATCCCCCAAGAGTGAAGAAAAGAAACTATTGATGGTGGCATAAAGAAGTTGACTACTGTAGCTGTTCTGGGAAACAGTCACAATATGGGGAGCAGAATTTCAGATGATGGCTAGGTGTGGTGGCTCATGCTTGTAATCCCAGCACTTTGGGAGGCAGAGGGGAGAGGACTGCCTGAGCCCAGGGTTTCGAGACCAGTCCGGGCAACTTGGTGAGACCTCATTTCTACAATAAATTAAAAAAATTAGCCCAGCTTGGTGGCGTGTGGTGGTTCCAGCTACTTGGAAGGCTGAGGCGGAAGGATGCCTCAGTCCAGCAAGTTGAGGCTGTGGTAGCCATGATTGTGCAGCTGTACTCCAGCCTGGGTGACAGAGACTCTGACTCAAAAATAGAAAGAAAGAAAGAAAGAAAGAAAGAAAGAAAGAAAGAAAGAAAGAAAGAAGGAAGGAAGGAAGGAAGGAAGGAAGGAAGGAAGGAAGGAAGGAAGGAAGAAAAAGAAATATAGATCTGGCAGTCAGTGGAGAAGTAAGGAGTAGAGAGAATTAACAGTGATAGACCTGTGAAAGAATAGATGAGTCACCCAGGAAGATTACATAAAATGAAGAGGACCAAGGACTGAACCTCTTGGTCTTATATTCTAGTTTTACTTCATGTGAGTGGTAACATTGATGCTGTATGTATACTTGTCTTGATTTCCCCCACTTTTGGGAGCTTCTTAATAGCATTGCCCTGTGAGCTTTTCAGAGGCAAGGACCAATTCCTATTTGTCTTTGTATATGCAATGCTGAGCAGAGTGTCTGGAATAAAGAAGTTTCAATGATTGTTTTGTAAATGATAGGTATGCAGCATCTGTAACTCATACTTACTCTGTGCCTCTTAAATGTTAGCAATGCTGAATGTATATTGTTGACTTGTAATGTTTCAACACCAGAAACATCTACAATCTCAAGTGAGATAACATGGTTTAATCTCATTGGTCATAATTCTTTATCTGGTTATTTAACTTATTGCCAGTGATAAATTCATCAGGGACTGTGGCTGAAAGAAACAAAAATGGACTCTGGCCAACTTCAGCAGTAAAGGAATTCATTAAAAGTATATCAAAATTGATAGGAAAGCTGGACAATCAGTCTCAGAAAAAGATAGTCTATTAGGGTAACACTTTTTAGCCTCTGTACAAACAACCCCAAAATCTCAGTGACTTACTACACTAAAAGATTATTACTTCCTCTTGTCATAGTCAGATGTGGGAGGCTGATTGGGGTAGCTCCTTCCAAGTAGTGGTGTGGGGCTCTAGATTTCCCTATTGTTTTGCCCTGCTGTATTGGAGAACTTTGCTCCCAGTTGTCCAGATAGAGGAAGATCGTGTGGGACTTTTTAGGGGCCAGATCTGGTAGTGACACGAATCACTTCTGCTGCCATTTTGTATGTGACCAGGAAGAAAATAAAAATGGTTTGAACATAGCACAGTCTCTACCCTGCCACAGATGTATCAGGGTCAATGCAGCAGGAATTAATGGACCAGTATCTTTAGGGGTCCCTCGCCAGAAAAAATTCACTGTTTTTTTTTTTTTTTTTCTATTCTTGCATTTTCCCACTCAAGAATCAAAGTCTTAGAAGAGAAGAGAAGTTCCATGTGGTCCAGTTTGGTCAGTTGTCTACTGCTTAGCCTTGGGAGATCAGGGGCTCTTGGTGGTTAGCCCATCAAGATACAGAGAAGAATTAATTCCCCAAAGTAAATCAGGCCATTGTTACAAAAAAAGAAAAAAGAAGAATAGATGTGGAATGCAAAAAAAGCAGTAAATGTCTACCAAACTGATGCCATTACCACTACGTCTGCCACAGATATTAATCTACACTGATAATAAATTGTAGTTCACAAAGTTTTTCCATAACAATCTTATAA